TGGGGTTACCTGTGGGGTTACCTGTGGGGATACCTGTGGGGTACCCAGCATCCCTCTGCTCGTGCTGGAATCGCTGTGCAATAGCATCGTTTCCTCCATGTCCACAAAGTGTTAAGAAGTGGAAAGCAATTGTTTCCACTGCAAGCATTAAGAAAATTCATCTAAAAGTTCCTGGAAGGGAATTATCTCCCGGCTATCAGATTCTGTAAGCTATATAAACAGATCTATGCAAAGCTTATGAAATGTTCCATGAATCCTTTCACATGGGCCAGAAAAGCAAAGTCTCGCTCAGAGCAGTGCTGGAAGAAGTGCTGTGTGCACTCCTGCCAGTCCAGCTCTGCTGCTGCTCCCTGGGCAGTGTGCAGGAGGACCTTCACATCGCTGCTCTCTCTGCAGCCACCATCTCTACATTCCACCAACAAGTTTTGAGGAATCCAAGCCGGAAATCTCCCGGACTGTGCACGTCCCCAGACAGTAAATAACACACAGTGTGAAAGGAAATGAGAGTTACCCAGGCTGTGCACGCTGCAATAACGTGGCTTTACTCAGTCCTCCTAGCATAGACGAGAGGCCGAGAGCACACCTTACACACCAGCACTCCTCCGAGCAACCACACCTCCTCCCCCGGCAGGGTAACGACTCCATCGGTGCCAGGAGGGCCAACGCTCATCCAAAGAGGGTCCCTCCAAGGCTACAGCACAGCATGCACACCCGCAGGCAGCATGCTTCTTGGGCTGGCAGTGCAGAGCTCCCCTCAGTGCCATTCACCCCCATGGTGGAGCCGAGCCCAGGCTGTGTGCTGCAGCCACCGACCCAGCGTGGGGACGAGCGTGAGGTGAGCAGTGACCGACTTTGCTCCCAGTCAGTTGCTTAAATGTGGTATTTCAAAAGACTGCAAACAAACGTTGAAAGGAAAAATACGCCGTTCTAGGGCAGCCTAACAAAAGCCAAGGGAGTTTCACCCGAGAGAGGTTTCTGAGATCGCAGTTTTACATAGATCACATAGAAGCAAACTGAAATAAACAGGATAAAAACTACAGCTGTGCCTGAGCCTGTTGGAGGCTGTAGGCTGCTGCTTGCCCAGGCCTGCTCTGCACGGGGACTCGGAGGAATTGCAGTCACTGTGGCCATGACTATCAAACCAAAATCATGTTCTACCTTATGCTAACACGAGGGTAAACACAAACCCCAAACCATTTAAACAGCAGCAACCTGAGCCTGGCGGTGCTCCTGCGTCGGTTTTGCAGGAGAAACCCAGAAGGAGCTCAGCACTACACGGGGCTGGAGGAGCAAAGGACCAGCCACCAGTAAACCCACGTGCAATAAACCTTCCTCTTTGCTGGCAGGTGATTGCTGAGGACCCACACATACCTTGCAGGTTCACTCTGGAGACAGGTGGCTGACTCGTTGCAGGAGATCTCCTAAAAGGAATAAAGAATACTCCATCAGCAGGTGCTATTTTTACACCTCAAGCACTGCCACTGCTAATACTCACAACTAAAAGGCTGTTGTCAGGTTCACAAAGAACCCTAAAACACTTCCAAACGGTCAGCAATTCATAAGCAATACAATATACCTGCTAGAAAGATCCAAACGCCTTGTGTCCCTTGGCTAAGCACACACACGCACACGTGCTAGAAAGAAGACACAGCAGAAAAGATGTGCCCTCATCCCACACTTTATCTGCTGCTTTGAGGTCCAGCTACACCCGGAGGCCAGCAAGGGCTGGGTGCTGTGATTGCAGGGCTCACTGGGGCCCCACATCAAGGCCTTTTCTTGCACGTGTTTCACCAACCAAGTCTGGCCCAAAGCAATGCCCGCTGTTGCACCGGTGCGCAGGTACAGGGCTACAATGGAGATGCAAGGCTTCACATCCCACCATCAGCAGCCTGAGCAGCACCCACAAGCACACAGTGAGATGCTGCAGCCGCTGGCGTGAGCTCCAAAACAAAACAGAATGGCATTTCTCAAGTAGAAGCAGCAGCTCCGTCAGGGAACAGTGGATTCCAGGAGGGCTGAGAGCTATCTGCAAATTTGGCTGACGTTAAGCAAGCAGGTTGGGCTGGAAAAAATGGTGCAATATTTCTCCAAACGTCAAAAGATTCCATTGTGACGTCTGCCAAATAAAACTGTTAATTTTTCAAGTTGAAGCCGTTATTCACCTGAAAAAGAAAAGAAAGAAAGGGAAAGAAAGGGAAAGAAGGAGAAAGAAAGGGAAGGGAAAAAAAAAGATAAAAGGAAAAAGGAAAAAGAAAAAGAAAAGGAAAGAGAAAAAGAGAAAAGGGAAAAGAAAATGGAAAAGAAAAGGAAAAATAAAAGGAAAAGGAAAAAGAAAAAGGGCTTCTGTTGTAAAGAAGTTAAAAGGAGATAAAAATCAAAACAGTCTGTTTGAGATTGAGGACAGTATTCCAGGCTAACCAGAAACGAAACTCGGGGCTTCTGCTTCCCAAAGGGGTTTCGGAGAGGTTCCAACAGAAGGCGGATCCCCCCCAGCCTCCCTCCCAGCCCAACCTTCTGACTCAGCCACTGAACTGAAATATCCATTTTCTGGCTGTTTCTCCTTTGAAGCTGCATTCAAAGCCGGTGAGCGGCTCCATCCCGCTGCCGCCGCAGCTGCAGGGGTTCCCCAGCGGCGCTCCAGGAAGGCCGAGCCGGTGGGATGTGCAGAGGTGGACAGACCACAGCCCTGCTTCACAGCCCCTGTCCCAACCTCCTGCCCGCCAGCAGCTGAGCGGGGCTCCCTTCACTTTTTGGGTGCTTTCCAAAAGTTGTGCTTTTTTCCGGGCCCCGGATTCTTCGAAGGGCTCAGCCTGCTGTGCTGGGTGCTGACTCCTCTGAAAATCTGCCCCGACCTGCCTGCACAGAGCCTTTGAAAACTGAAATCTTGGAATCTTTGGAAAACAGAAACTCCTCATTAGGGACAGTCAGTATCAGAGGAGATGCGCTGCAGGTATCTCCAGCCGCCGGTGCAGAGCTGTGCCCTCGGGGGGCGGGGAGGGGTGAGCTCATGTTCGGAAGGGTATTCCCCACTGCACAGCTTGGAAATACAACAGCACCCCTCCCAGCACCCTCCGTGACGTCCTGCCTGCACCCATCCCAGTTTCTACAGCAGTGAACTGCCGCTGATCCACGTCCTGACACCGCTGTCCCTTCTGGGACACCGCAGCCGATGGCTGTCACATGGAGCTGCTGTCAGATCCCCTGCTCCACATCTGCCAAACCCGGCCTCTCAGAAGCCATTAATCACACTCTCCTCTTTTCCACTCAGGAAATGGTCTGAAAAAACCCTGATGTTACCGTCCAAAAAAAAAAAAAACCTATTGTTTTTCATTGTGTGTATAATTGTTTTTCATTGTTTGTCAGTCCTTCAGATTCCTACGTTCCAGCATTTCTGTCAATAAGCGGGGCAGCAGCCTCTTCTCCTTCCCTGGAACAGCAGGGATGAAGGAGGGAGGAAGGAGAGGAAGGGGTTAAAGAAGAGCAGAGTTTCCCATGATCCCTGAAGCAGAATTTTAAGAAGAATGTCGTGTGTCATGAGACATATGATAAAATCATGAGCTGGCAGCACGGCGTAACCCGGCAGGGCTGCTTGGAGACCATGTGGGAAGCACCACAGCTCCTGGAAGCACATTCGGCCACAGAATGGGACGTTGGGCGTGTAAGGGTTTCAACATTTGATGATTTTGAGTTTGGCTGGGCAAATGGCTTCGTGCCTCAAGCAGATCTGGGAATGTTTTCAGGAGGACCCTGCGAGATGCCTCTGCGTCCGACAGGTTACGCCCTCGCTTCCTTCCGGCCCCAAATTCAGATTCCTCATTAGGAACTGCCAAAATACTCAGGCGATTCAAAAAAAAAAGCAAAGCAGAAAAAAAAAAAAAAAAAAGAAAAAGAAAAATAACAAGGAAAGGATCCTTTATTTCAGCCATCTGTTTTTCTATTCGCCTCCATCTCGGAACGCGGCGATTCATTTCCCATCACATCTTGCAAACAGAAATCAACGGGAGGAAAGCTCCGTGCCCAGCAAGACGCCGGGTGCGCGGGGAGCTCAGGGCCGCGGCGGGCACCGCGCTGCCCCCAGGGTGCCGCACTGCTGCTCTGCTGGGGGCGGCGGGGCAGAAATGGGCGACGAGCGCTGGACCCATGGAGGCGGGACCCCGCGGCGCGCTCAGGCGCTTTGGCGCCCCCATGCGGCCGAAGCCGGGACGGCGCCGGCCCCGCTGCCCGCTCCCCCACCGCCGCCCGCTCCCTTTGGCTCCCCGCTTACTTGTTGGCCGTCCCGTGCAAATTGGTGAGCAGCGTGAAGTTGTTCCTCACGCTCCGCAAGCTGGCCAGCACCTGAAGCGAGCAGAAGGGATTTGTGAGCGCTTCTCAAGGCAAACCTTTCCAAGTCAGCCCCGTGCAAGAGGCAGCAAGCTCCCAACTCACCTGTGCGAAAGGTGTGACGATCAGGTCATCTCCGTGCCTGGGGGGGGAATGGAGAACGTGGCTGTAAGTCACTGTGGCCGGGTGGAAGGGCAGCATGCCCATCACTACACGGATGGATGCCCTGCGTGGCCGTGGCAGTGTGTGGGGATGGCTGTGGGCACTGCTGGCACAGCGCAGGACAGCCAGGAAACTCAGTGCACTCATACTGTGGTGGAAAAACCCATCACGGCCCGGGTAAAGGTCAGCTCTGAGTTTCCTGGCTTTTGTGTCACCGTGCTTCACATTATCCAAACAGTGGATGTTTTCATCGTGGAAGATTTGAGCAGAAGATCAGAGGGAAGGACAGCATCACCAGCACTGGGAGGGATTTCTTGGCAATGCTGCACAAAGCACTCACACAAGAAGCCTGGGCTCAGGGCGCTGGGCAGGAGGGATGCTCTCCTCCCCCTGTGGGAATTCACCACACCTCCCATTGAGATTCAGGTTTCTGCTGTATGGAAAAAACTGGTAGGGCTTTTACAGCAGCTACGCTTTTTTGTTTAAGAGCATTTTTTGTGTTGTGGTCACTTTAAACTCTAAACTGTGCCTTTTAAAATAAAGGGCTGCAAATCCAGGGTGCTCATGGAGGCTTTGTGCTCCATTGGAGGGGTAGGGATCCTCTCAAATCAACCTCTCTGCTGTATTTTTCACTGTCTTCTACTGAATGACCCACGATGGGAAACAGGATGAAAAAGTGCAACAGGGGTAGGTGTGCTACCTACTTGAGAACAGAGGGGATGTTAACCAGGCACTGAGAGCATGCAGGGAAAAGCAAGCACAGAAGGCACCGTGGGCACACAGAACAGCCCAGCTCTGCCCACTGCTTTGCACCCCAGGCACCAGCTCCCAGTGGCACTGGGGTCCTCTTGTATTTCACCCCCTGGCTTTGAAAGCTCTTCTACTAGATTATGGAGCAAAAGTGAGTGTCGGGATGGGATGGGGATGAGGAAGTCACGGCTGCACAGACCACAGCAGCACCCATCTGCTGGGCTGTGAGATGTGAGTAGTGCCCACACACACCTCTTTCTGGGGATTACAGGAAGACACGCAGAGCCCTCAGCCTCTGCTGCTGTCAAATATGACGTGAGCTGAGTTTGTGCTTACTGTTCGCTTGGGAGAGAGGAGTTCCTGGACATGGTCTTTGGTGACAGGTCGTAGTCGCTGTCTGAGCGGTAGAGGAAGGACTCCCGGCGCTGGCTGTGCCCGGGGAAGGTGGTGTGCAGCACCAACCCTGAGGAGGAGCCGGCCTGTGGGTCCAGCGGGCTGCGACCAGGAGAAGGGCCATTTTCCACATCGAAGCTGCAAACAAAGCACAGACTGCATCACACATGCCTGCTAACGGCCAGCTTTCAGTGCACAGAACCACAGGATCACTCATGTTGGAAAAACCCCCCGTGATCCCCAAGCCCACCCCCCATTTCCACTGCCCACGTCCCTCAGTGCCACATCTCCTTGGCTGTGGAACACTTCAGGGATGGTGACCTCCCCACCTCCCTGGGCAGCTGTGCAGTGCTGACTGCTCTTTGGAGAAGAGATTTCTTCCAGTATCCAGCCTGATCTTCTCCTGGCACGGCTCTCTCAAGTGCTGTGCATTGTGCCAAACCTCACCCACATCCTTGCAAATGCCATGGGGACAGAAGGCACTGTGCCACGGAGCCATACGCACTGAGCACACTGGCAGTGCCACGCTGTCCTCCTCCTCTTTTGGAGAAAGGTTGAAAGGTTTTGGAAACCCACAAGGTTTGTGAGGAGCGGGCATCCAACCACGTTTCACATCTCAGCCATCCCGAGAAGTCAGCTGAGTGAACATCAAACAGCTGTGCTGTAAAACGGAGGTTTGGAAAAGACAACCCAGGCTGTCTGTCACCATTTCCATTCTACACCCACTTCCTTATGGTTTCTCAGCTTGGCTGCTGCTTGTGCACTGGGCACTCCGGCAGGTGACACCCCTCAGAAAGCAGCGACAGACAGACCTGTTGTGCTCTGCTCTGCTGCTCAGCCACACCAAGCACCTTTTGCATTACCAAGTGATACTTAGGGAGCAAGTGATCAGAAAATCGGTACCATATGCTGGCTGCATGTGGCTGGTTGCAATTTGTCTTATGCATTGATCCCTCTGTGCTCAGGGCAGGAAGGTGTTTCTGATGGCTCCAGAACCGACTTACTGGGGAGGAAAAGGCAAAGATTGGGTCCCCAGCACCTGTCCAGTCCTCACAGCCACAGATGCTCCCTTGCCAATTGGTCCTGCACACGGTTCTTCCAGAATTAGGAAGTGCATGCATTTAACTAATGCAATTAAAAACACTGATTCCCAGTGCAGACACGGATTCCTTCCTTGGAATCCAAAGGCAGGGCACTGGTGTGATACAGTGTGTGGAGGGCAATCCCTGCACACTCCGTGCTGCTCTGTAGCATCCACTCACCCAACTGCTCAGTGCTTGAACCCGGTAAGAGCTCAATTACATTCCTTTCCTCCTTGTTATCTGCTTTTCTACCAACAACAGCATGAGTACGCTTTATTTCCAGCCGCAAGAAGAAACTCAGCTCTGCAACTGCCATATCTACAACCACAGGCTGATAATTAATCCATCACTACTGAGAGAATTAACTCTGATGACGCAGATACTCCAGACTTCTCCAGCAGGACTCGGGGAAAGCAGCCCCTCTCCTCCGGCTGCAGTCCTTAAGAAGCAAAGCAGGAGGGGATGCAGGGCAGAGCAGGGCAGCAGGTGGCAGGAGTTAGCTGCAGCTCGCTGCCTGTGCACCCGAGGGGCACCTGAAAAGATTTCATTGCAGTGCACATGAATGGAGGCAAAGGGCAACAACGTGCCAGGAGGAAATCATGCTTAGCACAGCCTGGCTTCATGCATTCACCTGGAAAGCAAACGAAATGACTGATGGCAACCCTGGCTGCCCATGTTCTGCAGTCTGACAGCAAAGATGAGTCTGAGTCGCTTAGCAGTTGGATGAGGAGATGGTAATGGTCGTTAGCAACCCTCGTGGTTCCATGGATAGCCACTGCAAACCAGATCCACCATACAAAACACACAGACCATGGGGCTTAAGCCCGCTGAACCAGGCAGGGTTTGTGGTTTGCCCTGAAGAACCATGCACCCAAGGGTGGCGTTCTGGAGCAGGCTGCCCAAGGAGGCTGTGGATGCCCCATCCCTGCAGGCATTCAAGGCCAGGCTGGATGTGGCTCTGGGCAGCCTGGGCTGCTGGTTGGTGACCTGCACACAGCAGGGGGTTGGAACTGATGAGCGTTGTGCTCCTTTGCAACCCAGGCCATGCTGTGATTCTTGATTCTTGTCCACATTTGGCATTTCCATGTTTCCACTCTTGCACGCACAACACGAGGGCTGTGGCTGCAGCAGCACACAGCTGTGCTCCCGGAGCCAGGACCTCATGGTGTTTGGGCACACTGCTAATCACAAAGTCCCTCTCATGATCTGTGCCACCCCGTTCCTCACAGAGCCATTCAGCCACACTCCAAAAGCCACTGGCAATGAGAACGATGCACTGTGCTACATCGAAATCTATGAGCACAACTGCTTCTCACTGCTCCCTGATTTTCTGCACCTGTTTCCCATTATCACAGCAGCTTGCCGGTTTCTCTAACAGATCCTTCATGCAGAAAGGACTTGAAACCATTGGTGCTCCATAGCCCAGGCCTGCAGGCTGTGCAGGCATGGAGCGGTGCGTCCTGCAGAGCTGCCCCATGGCATGCCAGCACCACAGCCCCTGCTGGATTGCAGCAGCCACTGAGAAGCACACGAGGGAGGTGGAAAGGAGCCTGGGCTTTCTTCTAGCACAGAGCCTCCAACAGCCCTAATCCTTTTCGTGTTCAGTGCAGATAAGTTGCTTGACGTTATCCTGTAACAAGTTAATACCATGAGGTTGGTGAAGTCCCCCGGAGAAGAAATCCTGAGTTTCAAAACCCAGTTGTTATTCCTCCAAATGCACACCCCGGGCTGCTTCATCTTTGTTGCTGTTAATCCCTATGGGACACCAGGCCAGCAGGTACACCCCTGCCCCACTGCCACAGCTTGGGTGTGCACACAGTGGGTGTCCACAGCACATGTGTGTGTGTGCACCACAGGTGTGTGCACGGCCACCCCCTGCACAGGAAGCAACATTATTCCTGAAGGGCTTTTCCCTTTCTTCCCAAAAGCACCCCAGCATTAAGAGATGCACCCAGCCTTTTCAGTTGGCTCATAAAATAATTATTTGACCTGATTTTTTTGATTTATTTCTATAATTGGTGCCGGCGTTCCTGCCAGCAAAAAGACAATATGATGTTCTAAAATGGTATTCAGATCATTAAATCCTTTGGATGCTCAGCCTTCCCAAATATAATTAATCTGGTTGGTTACATTTCAGCAAGATTTCACTTGCTTCACATCGTCCGATCACATGCACTCCTGCTCCCTTCCAGCAACAGCAAAAGGCTGTGCACTGCTAATGGCCACATCCACCACTGAGCTCCTCACTGCACTGGGGAGGATCAGACGAGATGGAAAACCTGTTTTACCATGAGGGTGCTCAAAGACCAAACAGGCTTCCTGGGGAGTTGGGTGATGCCCCTGCTGGTGTTCAAGGGGCTCTGGATGACACTGTCAATAATATACTTAAAGTGCTGGTTAGCCCAGAGGTGGTCAGGCAGTTGGGACTCGATGATCTTTGAAGAGAGTCCCTTCCAATAGAGCTGCTTCATTCCGCTCTGTTCCATTCCACTCCATTCTCTTCCACTCCACTCTACTCCATTCCATTCCCTTCCACTCCACTCAGTTCCATATCATCCCATTCCAATTCCCTTCCACTCCATTTCTACTCCACTCCACTCCATTCTACTCCATTCATTCCACTCCATATGCATGCTGTGGGCTGATCCCTGCTTCCATGTGTGCTCCATGGGATGAAGCCCAAAGAAGTGAGGGATGGTGCCAGTGCAGCACACTGAGCACGTGCAACCACCGCAGCCCTGCCGCAGCCACGCTGCTTTGAGTGGTTTCACCAGCTACAATAAATCCCTTGGCATAATCAAACACATAGGCTTTCCCCCAGCCTGTGGCTTTAGCATGCAGTGCTCCTTCCTCAGGATGCTTGAAAAGGAGGAAAAGAGGCCAACTGAAGGGTAGAAAAGGGAGATCTGTGCTTGAAGTCATACACTGCAGCAAGGACACGGTTAGTGGGCATGGTTGGGATGGGTTGAGGGTTGGACTTGGTGATCATGGAGGTCTTCTCCAACCTAAATGACTCCATGGGTCTGTGACTCCGGATGGGAAGCTGGATCACCTCCAGCTGCACCTGCTCAGACCCACACAGCCCCCTGGCACGGAGTTGTTCTGCTGTGAAAGCAACAGCAGGCTGCTGGCGCCCCAAATATCACTTAGTAACACTGTCGCTTTCTCTGGACAAGCAAATCTTCCCCAGACTCGCTGCAGGGCTCAGTTTGATCTTAATTAGCAATCCCTTTGAAGCCCTGCCTCGTGCTGACAATTACGTGCTGGAGACACTACTCCAGAGTCACATCAAATCACAGTGCTGTGCTGCTCAAAACAGACGTGGGAGCACAGAGGAAAACAGGTCCTGCATGCTGGAGATACTGAATGCAGCTGTAGGGCATCAAGGGCAGTAATGGCAAACAGCGTGGCAACACAGCCATAAATACTGGGGGATCAGGAAAAAATAGTGCTTGCTACCTCCAACTGTCATCTAATAGTGCAGGAGGTGAAGTTTTCAGTGTGAATAAGCATAAAAGTGTAGGCATGGCACAAAACCACTGCATCTGACTGTGCTTCAGGCTCAAGTTATCTTCACAAATGCTTCATTCTTCAGCTAACAGAATTTAGGCATCCTGAGAATTTACTGCATTCAGGAAGGGTTGTACTGAGCTAATGGATGACACGTTGGTGGAAGCAATAGAGGTCAAGTAATGGGCCATTTAGAAAGAAACTGAGAAACTGTGTGCAAAACCAGAAGATAGTCAGCACAGCTAAGTTTCTGCAATGGAGAAAAAGGATGGTTTGGCTTCACTGATGGAACACAGGAGAGAAAACATCTAGAATGAGTGCTAAAGTCTGGGCAAGACAGGGAGGCAGGCAATGCAGGCAGTGCAAGCAAGCAGCAGGCAGGCAGGCAATGCAGGCAATGCAGGCAATGAAGGCAATGCAGGCAGGCAGCACTCTCCATGCAGCAGCAGAACATCTGCATGTGCCAGACTGCTGTTGGCTGTGCATTTTAAATGGAAGCAGGGGGCTGAATTGAGCAGCTGGAACGCCAGCCGGGCACCTGCCCAT